CCCCAAAACCCCAAAACCCCAAAACCCCAAAACCCCTCCATCTTAAATTTTTATTGAACCTCTCATTTTAAGATGTCACTTCTACTTTATCGAACCTATAATAATCTTTCATAATTATGTCAATATGCTTCTGCGATGTCATCCATGGAGCAAGTACAAATGACATCGGGAATAATGTTCTTCCAAAGACACTATCCCAAGCTTTATTGAATTCAATATGATATGTATTATCTGTCTCATCTCTCAGTCTTTCTAACGAGGAAGTGCCTTTCGACATGCCATGAATGATCTTGACAAAGTAGAACCCGAGGACAATAGTTACAGCTAGCCCTAAATGATATGCTGTCATCTCAAATAGATCAGACCCAGTGGTTGTGAAGAGGGCCTCAATACTCATAACAGAGCCATTTTCCCACATAATCTCAAAATAATGAGGAAATGCGTAGATATTATAGTACAAAGTTGATAAAGGAGCGACTCAGAGGAAGGCTAAGAAATATCTCATATTATTAACTCCAACACAATTATCAAGCCAGACTCAGTGGTGGTCCATCAAGAAGACACAAGTGTTGCAGACACTTCAGTGATGGGTTCTAGGATACCTATAAATATTTCACTTTTTACAGAACAAAGAGTAGTTGTAGTTATCTTTAAACTCAGCCATTGGCACATCTATTCTTTTATTATGGTCTTTCACGTAGGTATCAAGTTCTTTCTCACCTTTAATCCTGTTGGCTTCTTTAGATAGCATTTTGAGTCGCTCAAAGGCTTTATCAGTGATGATCTTTTCCTCCTGCTTGAATGTGTACCCTGGCTCTACAATTCCAACAATGATGAATGTTGATATCAAGATTGTTAGAGAGAGGTAGACTAGAGCCATCTCTATCTTCATCTTCCATTCCTTATGAGGGTCTCCCTCATAATACATCGGAAGCATCCAGAATGTATGATGGTAATAGCATATTGCCATTATCAGGAAAGCTCACAATTTGATTAACTTGTGAAGGTAGTTAAAGGGCTTTCCCCTTCTATGCGAGGGTTAGAATCATGGGGCAGACAAAGTAACAGGGAAAATAGCCTTGGATAAAACTGAAATTTTACATCACAAATTATTCCAGGGATTCTTACTTTCTTCCATAAGGTGTTGAGGTAGCCTTCTCCTCTTTTTCCATTTTTAAAATTCAATTTTGAATATTTTAGAAGGGGTTTTGGGGTTTTGGGGTTTTGGGGTTTTGGGG